GGTGATGAAGAGTATGATGTGGAAGCTGAAGAAGAGGGATATATTGGTAGTTCTCCACAAGACCAGTGTGTCGATGGGGAGGATCTAGGTCAGACTAAGCCAAGAGAATTTGTGCTTGGAGAAACAGAGAAGCCGATTCCTGTTAGAGCCTTTGAGTTGCATGAATTTCAGACTTGTTCGTCTTTAGCCAATCGAAGGCAGCTTGTTGCAAATGAAAATTCTGGAGATGTTGTTCATACAAAGCCCCTTTTTTCCGGCTCGATGGGGCCTGGGTATAATTGGGCGGAAGTTTCTCTGGGAATTAGCTTTGAAGAAGAACACAATGAGGAGGATTCTGAACCCCATCTGAAAAGCGGAGGCAAAGCAGTGGAGGTTAACACGGATACAGAGGAGGAGACTGAGGAAGGGGTACAGTCTAAAACAAAATACATGAAAATTATGGGATTTCAGAAATTTGGTCATCAGCTTGCCTTTTCTCATAGGGAACTTCTAGATCGTAGAATGAATGAGCAGCGAGAGGATAGCAATATACATTCTGCATTAGAGGATGATATTGAGGAACTATCTGAGACGCATTCAAGTATTACGGTAAGTCTCATCTGAGGCAAAAAGCTATTGAAAACATAAAGGATATATGGGCATGTATTAAATCTATTACAGAATATGCATCTCAGTCTGAGAATATCGTCGTCTTCCACTCTTTTATAATAATTAAATAGGAAATTTAACTGAACTATCTTGTGGTGAATAAGGCCAATAAACGGCACCAATATGTTGTTTTGGTGTTGGTTTGACCTAGTCTTTGTAATTTGGTCTTAGCGACAAGAAGACCTTGTGGAGCATATCCAGTCCTGCTTTGGCAATAATATTCATGATAATTTTTGGCATCAGACTGCTGACTCGGTAGATTCCTAGCATCGTTGTTAGCATATTCGTTTGGAGGCACCACACTTAGCACATAATTATAACTTAGTAAAGTAACAATTAAAGGCAGTCCCCTCGGACAATTTATTGTTCACTTGTTGTGACAAACAGATAAGAGTGCTACTGTAGTTATGGAGAGAAAGAGATCTACAGAAATAATCGAGAATATACTTAAGGAAAGTACAAGTTTTCGGCTGTTAAGAAAGGACCCAATAAATAAATCCACCAACATTTCTTACTGGAGGAAATGAATTCGGACAGATAAATCGACAAGTGGACAATTAATTAAATAATTAGAAAGTCTGCAAGATCACAGGTGGCAATCAATTTGCCAAAAATACGCAAATAAAAATATCCAGTGAACGGATAACCAACAATAAACACGAAGCATTGTGGAGATAGTCATTAACCTTATCCGAGTGGTAGGGTCTCTTAAGGTCACATAACTTAGGAGTGATACCATAACGTTTACAACAGTTTAAAA